GTCAGCGCCGGCCTCCCCCTGCAGCCTCCGAGGAGAGCTGACCTGTCAGCGCCGGCCTCCCCTGCAGCCTCCGGAGCTGGCTGAGCTGCATTTGTCATGTGAAGCCTCTTTGGTGGCGGCCTTTTGCCTTGTAGCCCATTAAGCCACCCCAGGCCACGGCGTGGGGCCTCAGAAACTCAGGAGGAAACTGATCTCCCACCGGGGACTCGGCCCCAGGCCTCAGCGACGCTCAAGTCCAGGTCAGAACCAGGATATGGCACTTCGGACGCAGGGGCCTGAGCTGTACCCACCAGCTCCCGTTTCTCAGGAGGCTACTGTGAGACGGGAACCACCAAAAAGAAGGAATGAACCAAAATAGGAAACGCTGAGGAGAGCAGGAAACGGAAATGTGGCCGGGTGGGTGGTGAGGGGCAGCCTGAACGGGAGATGGACGCCCAGGGGAAGCTCGGGCTGCAGATCCGCCGGGAGATGCTGCCAACGCAGAGCACCCAGAGCCTGGCGGGAGAGAGTCTGTGCAGGAATGGAGGAGCCTCCTGGGCCACCCCAGGATGCCAAGGGACTGCCCTACCCCCACGCTCACAGCCCGAAGTGCATCAGGGCACCCCATATCGTCTAAGTGGGGCTCCCTGTCACCTGAGGGTCACCAGATCGAGTCCCTCTCGGGGAGCCGAGCTCAGGTGTGTGGATAGTCCCCAGTGCGTGGAGCCCCCCTGCAGACGCCGTCCCTCGTCTGCCCACATCCCTTGCAAGGTTGGTCTGTCCCCAGCCTGCCCCCTGGCTCCAGCCCACTCTGCACTGGGAAGGTGTCCAAGGTGAGATCTGCCGTCCCAGGCCCGACCCACACACCATGCCCACGGCAGAGCCCTCCCCAGGAGCACTGACCCAGCACCCTCCCCCGACCCTGGAGGACCCTACGTACCAGGACACGCTCTGGGCCCCAGCAGCCCGAGGGACACCACCCCGCCCCTCCCTTACCTGCCAGAGGGCCCAGGCAGTACACCTGTGTGTGCTCCAGTAACGTGTGGCCTGAGCAGCCGAAGGTCACGGAGGCGGCCAGGGCAGGGTTGAAGAAGGCGGACGTGAGGGGCCCGGCTGTGGGCAAAGAACAGACAGCCCTGGTCCCCAGCCCTCCCTGCTGCCCCAGCCCTGCCAGAGTCCACACCGAGAGCCCATGCCTCAGCACCTGGCTTCCCCTGGTCCCTGCACCGATGGTCGCGCGAGGCAGTGAGGTGGGTTCAGCCAAGGTCTGGGTCGGGGCAGCAGCTTGGGGGCCCCACGGGGCCATTGAACACCCTCCACACGTCTCATCCTGGCATGAACTACTGTCCCCCCAACCATGCTAGAATCCAGCACCCCACCTTGTGGGATGTGGCCTTCAGAGAGACAGGGGACTGAGAGAGACAGACAGAGACTGAGAGAGAGACAGATGGTGAGAGAGAGAAAAAAAGAAACAGAGACCGGGAGACGGAGAGAGAGAGAGAGTCAGAGACGGGGAGACAGAGAGAAAGAGAGAGAGAGAGAGAGAG